GTGAGAATGCTACAATAATCAAGCAACTGTAGAGATGCTTTTGAGAGGACCATTGTTTTTTGAGCATTTAAAACCATTTCTAAATTCAGCAGTCATTTGTAAAGACCTAAATGCAGTCTGAAGCTCTTGGACTGCAATAATCATACTGGATGCCTAAAAATACAGAGTCTGTGATTTCTGAGTTCACTTTGATGATACTGAACATTTATTTGAGGCCTGACAGCTTGGAATGAATGATATGGTACAGACTGTGTGTAACTGTATTAAAAAAATCATAACCAAAACAGAATAAGGTGGCAAATCGAGCATTAGGCAGACAATTATCATACTCATCCACCCCCCTTTTAAATTAAGAACACATATGATAGATATCCATCACAGGTAGCATACTTCACCATCATGCTGGCTAGTTGAGTTAGTGCCCAGCTCGACATAGACTTGTTTCACATTGGGAAGAATACAGTTGAACTAGTGGGTTCAAGGTCATTTTAAATTCATGATGAAATCTACACAGAACCGTTGTAGTTGTAAAATTAATTAAATTAAGTTTTGTAATACCTCTTCAAAAAAATTATTCAAAAGTTCTTTAATTTCTCTCATGCTGTCACACTGTTAATAAAGCTCAATAAATAAGCGCTCTTATCCTTTGTTTTCTGTGACTTTTCTCTCTTTCAGAATAAAGTCCAGCTACAGATGGTAAGTTCAACATAACCTGAGCCTGAGAACAAGTCAAGCCACACAGCCACTGCAGTGTAGTAGCACCAGCGAATGTGTTTGTCTGGAGCTCATTTCCTAGGTCTGCTGGTCTTCACAGTGTCTTTGTGAAACCCTGCTGCCTCTCAGTATGGTTTGCCTCCAATAGCAGCGAGTATCTCCTGCCTCTCTGCAGCAGTGGGCATGAGAGGACTCACACCGTCTCTTCTCCTCTGCATCAATATGTTGTGCTTTATTGAAACAAACAAAAACTCTTAGTTATTTATTTAAACAAATACTTTATATATACCCATGTGCTATTGTTGGTTTCCATTATCAGCTGACAAGCATTCATAGAATCAGTCACAGCCCTGACAGGAGTAGTCTATAGTAATGAATCCAGGCAAGTTTACATGTAATTAATTCAGTAAGGCAACATAACTGAAAAATCATTACATTCCAATGAGTTTATTAAAAAACAAATCTGTGTGTATTGGAAGGAACAAAGGAACAAAATCCACTGGTCCTCCTACCTGTGCTGGGTTAGTGCATGTAACTATTAGTACATCCACTTTTTTAAAAAGGGTTTCCATTCCATTCCAACTTTATTTATAAAGCACTAAAAAGAACCAAAGTGGACCAAAGTGCTGTACAGTGTAAATAACAAACATAACTTACAAGTACAGATAAAATCAACACCAATATAAAATATCAAAAAGCCAACGAGACCATCTGTGAATGCATGATTTGTGTTGAACACCTTTCCCCCTCACTGTATACAGTATATCTGGTGTACACACACACAAACACACACACGTGTGCCAAAGAGTGTCTTAGCATGAAGAGGTGGAACATCTTTCACTGGTTCTGTTGTGTATCTTTCCAGTTATTTATGAGGCCCTTCACTTTGGGCAACATGCTGAAAATGGTCCACACTGTATCCCACACAGTTCCTTCTATATTGATGTAAAATGACTCAGATCTGAGCTGAGACTTTGAACTTTGATTTAGTATCTATTACTTTATTTCTGGCCTTTTTGGCAACGTGACACATTAGTCACAGGTACCTCTAGTTCTTATTTAGACGTGAGACTAACACAGAAAATCATCAGCACATTTACGTAACATTGTACATGTCTGAAAAGTCAGGATGTCTGAGCTTGTACCATTATGGAAGTGAAATGATAAATAACTGGAGAATTGTATTAAGGTTTCCACAAACAAAGTTTCCATAATTGAATTTGAACATTTGTAAGGACACTGAAAACCCAAGATTCCAGTTTTTATTACATTTTTATCTGTTTGTGTTTCCTCCTGTACTGCTAACCCTACTGTGAACAAAAATGTGATACTTCCATGACTGTTGCCACTTAACCACCTCTTTTCACCCACTTCTGATGCTCAATGTGAAGACACCCTTTGCCACCTTACCCTAGGTAAGCACAGCCAGCCCAGGTGATGCATGGCTATCTCTAATGTACAAATATAAGATGCACAACATATTTGAAGGGTTTCTTTTTGCTCTACCATTTTCCTTAGTTATTATCTTTCATGCTTGGAAACAAAATGAACTCACCCAGTATTTCCTACAGTTTTTATATCTCTGGAAATAGGCTGAACACATGCTCTTATCGTAGTTGGAGGCATTCATACACTGTTGTGAGGCATCACTTTCCTGCAAAAGAGAAGTGGGATTAGACACTCTCACATCCCAGCAGCAGGGGGACGTCCCACACAGTTTAGAATATAAAGGGTCAGTGAGCCTACTTCGATGCATGGGTTACTGTCTTCATTCCGGAGTTTTCCTGTAGTTTTATCCATTTGGATCTGTGTACAGATAGACAATACAGAGGCTCAGATTTAGCACAAGAGATACTTGTAACAATAATTATAATAATATAATAGCAAACATAAAAAAAAATACTATAGTACAATAAATATGCATTTGATAAAAGAAAGAAAAAAACCCTATGGAGAAATAAACTATAAACATTAAATTTAGCAGGTCACAAATGATAAGTTTACTTCTATCTATTCCTGCATCCTTCATTTACCTGTACTCCAAATAAAGTTAGTACAAAAATATTTGTGGTAAGTGCAGGTATCTTCCCAATGATAAAAAAAATAGATAGCTGGATAAAGGATTGTAGAATAAATCAGGGGCACCTCAGTGGCCTTGGGTGTATGGTGCTGACCATACACTGTGATTTGATTCACAAGTCTTGTAGTGTTTTCTCGTGTTTTCCTCCTGTATGGACCTTGCCTCCCCCTGGACTCAGCTTTGCCTTAACCCCTTGAATGTACAGTTTTTGGGCCATTGGTCTTGTTACTAGTCAGCCATCATTTATACCAGTACTGATGTATCTGTGATAAGCTAATATTGGTCTTTTTTTCATGGGCTGAGCCATTTCTCCACTGTCACTGGAGACACTTTTTAACAGTACACTCAAGTCACTCACTGGCTGTGTCCGAACCTGCTCCCTACTCACTTTATAGTGTGCTCGCTATGTTGTAGTGGTGTCCAAACGCTGAGCGTGTAAATCTATCCACTATATAGTGTACACAAAAATTCCACAATAGAATGTTAAAAGTAGTGTCTATGCCATGTACGTTACTTTATACTAACAACCCCACAATGCAATGCTCTGTGTTTTATCAGATGGAATCCTCATCATGCAGTTCTACAGTTGTTAGTGATTATGTAAATTGCCAGTGGTTACTAAGTGTCCAAAATCTCATTTTACTGTTCACTATTGAGTGAACTACTTAGTGTATATTATATACAGAGTAGTGAATGGGTGAATATGAGTGATTTTGGACACAACCATGCATTCTATGGGTATATCCCAAGTCTCTTATAAGATTGATCCTATGTCCTCGGTCAGCCTGAACAACTTCAGAGTTGGCCAAGAACGGAGGATCAAATTTCAAAGTCTCCATGTGTCTTATGTCGACTCTGAGGCCCAAGAAGCCATGACCATCCTTCCCAGAGGTTTTTATGAACTGACGTGGCCCTTTATCAGAAATCAGTTGGTGATTGGATGCTTCAGATGAAGGATTAGAGGAAAGGACGTCGTTTCCTCTAGTCCTCTCTCCTCATCTTTTCCTTGTACAAGGAAAAGATGCAAGTGAAGGAAACGACAGTGCTTATAAGAAACTTGGGATGGAGACTGTATTTGTTCAATTTACTCACTGGTGTAGCCTCGGGGAAAATCAAACACAAGCTGTTATTTATTTTTATGGCATAACATGCTACTGGCTTTTCATATGGCTGGGATACCTCCGCTGAGTGAGATACATATGTTCTCCTATTAAACATGAGCAGCACAACTTGTTTCACATACAACTAATAAACAGACTCACTCTTTTTCTTCTCCTGACATTCCTCCCTGTCATCAAGTGTCCAAAATATCCATGTCTAGGTGTGCAGGAGTATTTTATCTAAACAATAGCAGCACTAACTTTGGTGACAAACAGACTGCATTTCCGCTGGGCTGCTTCACAATACTAGCCACCGGGTGTTGTGACAATGGAATGCTTTTAATGTTTTAGAATCTATCCTAAGGACCATGGTGCACCAGCCTTCACAGCACTGAAATGCACCATTTCATTCAATCAATCAACAAGTCTACCTGAATTCTTTCCAACAATGTCACTGAAATACATCAGAAAAAGAGATTTAAATAAATAATGAATGCTTTTAGTTAAAATCAGAAAAATCCTAATAGCTCAGTGCATCTGGCAGTGGTAACTATGCAGACAACAGAGAGGAAGAGCAGAGTGGACTCAGGACCACAGCTCCCAGTGAATCCAGTACAAACACCAGTCACGTTTTACAGCATTAGGTATAGTCAGTTTGAGTTTAATAGGATAGATAATGTCCAGTAGTTTTGTTTCCTGCTCTGGTTTCTTCTGAGGTTCCAAAAAAGTATCCAAAGCCTGTGATGAGCTCAGATTTGCAGAATTTTATGAATGAAGGAAGAAAAGAAAAGAAGAAATGTGGTGCAGTTCCCCCAGACTCTTTAACTCTTCTGTTTTAGCTACTATGCTGCACACAGATGGAACCACCTTCCTGAGGACCTTAAACGTGCTCCAGCTCCAGACACAAGTCCAGACTGAAACCTCTACTATTTTCTTGTCCCTTTGTTTGACTGTTTGTTTGACTTTTTTGTAGAAACTTGTTAGTGTGTCTATTAAGTTATAGCTACGTCGGAGGAGTGGGCTACCAGTCTTAAGTGGCGTGTGGATGTCTATACTCCACAAAGCTACAGTTTTTTTTGCTATAATCACACTGTATTTTAGCGTAAGTTAAAATACAACTGAAACGGATTCCCCTGTGTTATTACTTGTTTTTTAAATAATTTCAACTTGGTGTTTAAAATGCATAGGCTACCGGCATGATAAATTGCTCAACCCTTTGCAGGAAATAGTCTAACTCATAACGACTACAGCTGTGTAAATTTGAAATAAACACGACTTATTTAACTGCCAGGTTTTTCATCGGAATACATTGTAACAAGTTGACCTTCATTCAAATATCCAATCTGCTAATGGAGAAACTCTGCTTTTCATTTAGACAGAAAGATTATGAGGATGAATGGACATAGGCTACAGCTAACGTTACCTACCTTTTACAAATGCCAACTTTTGTCCAGCGGTAGGTTAATGACTTACGCATTCATCCAAAACAGAGAAGGTTATCCAGCTTTCTAAAAGACCCGATTACCGGACAAACATATCCACACTTCCTGTATTCAAGAGCTGTGAAGACATTTATATCCCCCAGGTATACTAGCAAGACTTTTACTTCTAAAGGGTGGTGAAGAACACTTCATTAACTTAAAACTACATGCAACTAACTAACAACGCTAATGTTACACAAGGCATAGGACACAACTTCCCCGTCATGCTCCAGGCTAGTCATCTCTCGTTGGTGCAACAGCGCACCAGGAAAATCACCCATATCGTCACCGATAACTGACAGCGACATAAGCCAATAGAAAACTGTGAAAACTAACACCTAAGACTGACAGTTTACCCAGCCAATAAAATTTGTTGGCTCGCCTGACGGTCTTCCTATCATTCTAAACGAAACTAAGCCATATTTAAACGATTGACAGCACATCTAGCAAGTCCGAAAATTGAGTTTTACTGAACGGGACTATAAGTGACATTGAAGTGAAAGTGGCAGTGCCTTACACAAATCATAAAACACAAGAGGCGGAACTTTTAAGGGGGCGTGGCTAAATCATAGTACGGTTGCATCGCAGCGCATACACACAATGGCTGCTCGAAAGAGAGGAAAGCAAACAATTTTCAGGCCCGCCGCGTCTAGCAAAAAATATGAGAAAAAAATTATTAAAAATTCGGAAAATAGTTGAAAGTCAAGAAAAACTCAACAGAAAGGATGTTAAACCGTCCGGGGTAAGTTTCATGTAAATTAAGTGAGCGGTTATTCCGTTCTTGAATTAAAATATCGGGGTTATTTAAATTATGAGAGCGGGGTGAGCTGGGGAAAAGTTTGTCTTAATCAGTACCCAGCTTGGGACCACGGAGAAAACCAAGGGAAGGTACAACTAGGCTATTTAAAACTTTTAAAATAAATTGTGTCACTAGTGATATTAGTGTCACGGCGCGTGTCCACAAACATTAAAGACCACAGGAGACATGGAAAGTTGAGTAAAGTTGTACATCGCCTCCACACTTAGTTTATGTTTAATATAATATCAAGCAGTACCATGCACACCACAGGAACGGGCGCAGTTGGATTCAGCAGTAATGTCAAATTTCCTGCTCTCTGCATTCACGTTACTTTTTGCCTGATAGTCTAACATGTTTAATCATAAACATTGTCAACATGTCTTTAAACATCTCTTTTCCAAACCTATACTGTAGGCTAACGCGAAATGCAACCATGTCAATACTGTAGTGACGTTTTATCACGCTGTTTTGGTTCTAGGCTAAATGCAAAGCTATATGGCATTTTCAACCCACTGCATGCGCTCATCAGATTGTCATACGGATGACAGATCGCCTGTGACACCCTCTGAGGTTATTAAACAAGAAACAGCATGACACTGCTTGTAAATAAAGTCGCAAAATGGAGGAGAACTTAAGGCAAACCAATTAGACACTGCTTAAGAATTGCTGCAACTTGTGTCCCAACTTGTCGCAGGTTATTTCTTTTACAAGCAAAAGTCATTTCAGGTTGATTGGTGTGGCAGGTTGCACTGTGCACGTTTTTACAGGTTCTGGTCCTATAGCTGCTGCTGATACAGCTTATGGGAGCCTGTGATGTCAATGCTGTCTACTGTGCGTTAAGCACGAACTTCGGAGATCAGAAGCATCTTCCACCGCAGGTTTTTGGTTTGGTTGAAGTAGCCAGCGCCTTGTCGGTGATTAGAAAGCTTAAATGAATAGTTCCCGAGAGGACGTGTGTGTCAGAGTTAGCTCAAGGTTCTGTTTTCATCTGTCTGGGTCAAACATGAAATCATGTGCAACTGGCGTGAGATGGGATTTTGACTCTCGTCATCTACACTGAATGGTTAGTGATGCCAAGGCACATGACTTTCAATGTTGTTGATGCCGAGATGGAAATGTGTGGGCTATTTTTTAATCTTGTTTGAAAAGATAGGAAGGAATGGCCTGCAGAGAATGGGATCTGTCATCAGTTCTGATAGAAATAAACTTTGATCATTAGTAGCTAGTTTAAAATGTGATTTTTTAAATAGTTATTTGTATGAAAATTAGCTTATTCCTGTCTGTGTTTTACAATTTTAAATATATAATCATGACAGATAAGTATGTTTTTAAGGCAAAATAATTACTTTCTAAAAGCAGACACTATCCTCCTTTGGGGTTATTTATATACACACCTAGAGTTTGCAGCTGCTTTATTTCTTCACCTGAGATCAAGATGATTTTTTAATTTGCTATATAATCCTGCTGTTGTGAATTTGTGATTTTGAGCTGTTTTGTTTGTGAACATGTTTTCAGCTGAAAGAAAACTCTTGCCCAAACCTCTTACAAAATATAGGCTATTAAGTATTGTTTTGTCTTGAAACTTACATTAACTGTTGTTGAAACATTCAGTTCTAATATGCATTTACTTGAAATAAACAAAATAATTATACTTTGGAAAACATTTAAGAGTTGATTTGATTTCTATTGTTAAATTAGTATATTTAATACTAAGACAAGCAGCTAATGGAAGTGAATAATTATAATACATTAAATGATCAATTATTAGTCAACAATATTAAAAACAGTTTCATAATCATGCGTTTTAATGAAGTGTTGCTTTAAATAATAAGTGATTGTTTTGCTGAAGAATATATGAGTTTTTAATCATTAAGAAGTTAACTTATTTAAAATCTTCATTAAATTCTTAATTATTGTAAGACAGATGTCTGTTATTAATTTAATTTTTTGCAGTGATTAAGTTGATTTCTCTTTGGAATGTATAAATCACTACATGCAGGCAAACGTGTTTTAATAACCCTTCATTTCAAAGATTGATTCCTGTAACAGAAATTTTAAAATGTAATTACAAAAATATCAGTCATTTCACATAATGAGGCAGAAGAGTCTGCTGCTAGGATAAATACTTTGTACCACTATAGATGAATGAGGTTTTTTTTAACTATTTCCCAGAATGAATGCAGATCATGTAAAAACTGGCTGGCTGGCTGATCCTCGTATGTGAATTGTTGCTCTTTGCTACTTGTTTGTTTGAAATACATAATTAAATAATTATCCCTATGTATAATAATGTAAATACATATTTTAATTCCTTTGTGCTTATATGAAAACCCAGATATCAGTTTACAGGGTTTTCTAGACTAACACCATAGTATTTCAGTAGCTAAATGGTTAAAGTGTTGTCCTCCCCAAGATATACAGTATGTTAAATGTTAATATACATGCGAGGTGTGTGGAAATGGTTTTAACCATAAAAATTTTTCATTAACCTCCTTGGAATCCATTTTTTTTAATGCATTCACGTTGTGGCAGCTGCAAGATGGGCTGCTCACTGATGTGACCGCTTGCATTGGTCTGTCATGGAGGCCTCCTTGTGATCATCTCCAGCTTGGAAAGACGTTTCTGACCTAGCTGATGCAGGGTTTAGCTAGAGGTGACCTGCACAGGGATATGAGAGAAATCTCATTTCCACATGATAATCAGAATAGTATATCAGAATTAAGAATACCAATTCGCCATAATGTTAGAAGATAGCATGTCTCTACCTAAACTACATGTTTTTTTACATTAGTTTTACCATACTTAATACTATGATGGCCTCATAAGGATAACACATAAGACAGAAAGCACAAATATTAAATGAACTGTGCTCCAAATACAAAACGCACAGAAATAAAGAAAACATAAATATATTTCTACACTGAAAGTGCATTGGGATGGAAGCGATTTACTGGATCTGGACAACAGACTATTTTGCAGAAATACTGACAGTGAGTAAAATTCAGGATACAGTGTACTTGTTATGTAATCAGTAATGTACTGTATATATTGGCTCAATGATTCCATCTCGGACAGTGCAATACAAATGCTGAGGTTCCATGTATACAGAGCAGATTGCGTGTCAGCATTATCTGGGAAAACGAAAGGAGGCAAAATCTGTTTCTACATAAATGAAGGTTGGTGTACAGATGTCAGTGTTAGAAAGAATTTGCAACACTGACTTAGAGACTCTTTTCATCAACTGCAAACCATTTTATTCTCTGGGAGATTTTTCGTCATTCATTCTGGTCGGAGTGTATGGACCACAGGCTCATGCTAGCACACTACAGCATCAGATAACTAGCATAGAACTAAAACATCCCGACTCCCCACTCATTGTTCTAGGGGATTTTAACAGCGCAAATCTCACCCACGAACTGCCCAAATAGCACGTGAGTTGTCCCACCAGCAACAAAAAGACAATGGACAACTGCTACATGGTAATAAAAGACATGTATTGCTCTGTCCCCCGTGCAGCCCTTGGTCTCTCTGATCACTGCATGGGCCATCTCATCCCAACCTATAGGCAGAAAGTTAAAGCTGTAAAGCCTGTGGTCAAAACAGTGAAAAGCTGGACAAAGCAGGCAAACTCAGAGCTACAGGCCTGCTTTGACTGCACAGACTGGAGTGTGTTTGAGGCTGCATCTACAGATCTGGACGAATTCACTGACACTGTGACATCTTGCATCAGCTTTTATGAGGACGTGGGTGCCCACCAAGACCTTCTGCACATACAACAACAACAACAACAAGCCCTGGTTCACAGTAAAACTCAAACAGCTTCATCATGCCAAAGGGGAGGCCTACAGAAGTGGGGACAGCATCCTGTACAGGCAGGCCAGGAGTAAAGTGACAAGGAAGATCAGAGTAGCAAAGAGCCACTTCAAAAAGCTGAAAAACCAGTTTTCAGCCAACAACCCCTTGTCTGTGTGGAGAAGCTGGAAAAACATCACTAGCTACAGGAAGCTCAGGAAATTCAACCTGCCCCAGGAGCTGCTGATACGGTTCTACAGAGGAATCATCGAGTCTGTTCTCTGCACTTCCATCACTGTCTGGTTCTGACGTCAACTGTATATTGAATATACAGGGTGGGTGAAAAGTAACTAGGCATTAGAAATTGGCTATAGAACTTGTAGTATCACTGGAGTCATGATGAAAACATTCTCTAAATATATGATAGTAAATAGGATTTCATATGAAATCCTATTTAATGTGTAATATAGTGTACAGCATGCCTTTTCTTGCAGGACTGTTATAGTAGGTTTACCTAATAAATTGGCAGCTCAGTGTATCTCGAGCTTCAATATGTTTGCTTAGCAGCTGTGTAAGATATGGCAGTATCTGTGGTTTGGGGTTTTGTAATACTCCTACAGTTCTTCTAACAGATAGCAGTCTCGCTGTTTTCTGACCACACTGTTGCTCTGTTATTAAGACTGTAATAAAATGTATTGCTGTGAAGCTACTCTGAATAAATATCAAACATTTCCTGCTGCTTTTTTTCACATTAAGAACTTTTGTTTGTTTGTTTTTTTTACCAGCAATGCACTTTTTCTCTGGGAAGCAGTTACAGGGAATGCAACCTCAGGTACTGAATTTTGTGTTAGCTCCAGGTTGGATGAAAAAGTCTACCACAGTATTTTCAACTCTTGGCGTTTTGTATAAATGTTAGGACATAAATCAATCCATCAGTTTCTTCTTCCTATATATTATGCCTTATGGCATTACCTTATAGTGACAACCATGTGACATCAAGGTGTGTACCACCCTGAGACCCCCCCAACAATGAAGCCTCCTCTGATTTATAGTAAAAGGGAAATGTGCATAAACACTGGTATGGTCCTTTAAGTCCAATGATGATGATATTTTACACTTCCTAAGGATAGTACTATAATAGTTACTGTGACTCCTTTTATATAGGCATGCAAATAACATGCACACTGGACAGTGTGAAAACAACTGGGGTTCAAAAAGCTGGTTCACTTGTAATCAAGGTTGATCACTAAGATCAAATCAAAATGTATTTATATAGCACTTTACCTAGCTGCATACTTTATCATCTTTATCATATTTACCATGCACAATAGGTTGTGCTGGTGATATATGTTGCATGGCTAACCTTCTCCAGAGCAGAACTTCAAAGGGTCAGCTCAGGACCAGTCAAATGCCCGACTACTGACCAGTCAGACCACTGGAAACAGAGTCATCATTCTTGCATTGTCCTGACAGGGAAATGTGCTAACTTTATTATAATGTGACAAAAACCCATGAACAATGAATAGTTTTATTGAAAGTTCCTAACTCTGGAGGTAAAACAGAGCTTTTAGCAAACAGATTGATAGTTTACTGCAATATTAATTTTTTCTCATTTCTGACAGGATTCCTTACAACATAGATGCTTTTACACTGTTACTTGATCACACCGACCACAAAGAATAGCATGAGATGGAAATGATTGGAAATGAAAACATTTACCTACTGTTCTATTTTAGTAGAATACTGTTTAAAAAGCCCACACTATTAAATAGCTCTCAGGAAATAAATAATGCAACATTTTGGTCAGATAAACCGTGTCAGGCATTAACTGCTTTTCTCCTCCTGTCTACTCCTCCTCTGTGCTTTGGCACAAGAAACATTTTCCCATTGCTTTGAACTTTTTATGCGTTATCACAGATTCACATAGATTCATAATAGTTTGTTCCTATATATTGTGTATACTGTATGTTTCACTCACTGGATTTCACTTTTTGCTGCTGCATTAATCAGATTTCTCTGCAGATATCATTGTTTGAGTTCTTGTGATATTAAGATATCCATGATGTTGTTGCATGTAGTAATCACCTCTGCCTGTGTCGCATAAATGTACTCTGAGCTGTGTAGTTCAGAGCTAAATGAGCCAGTGGATACCCAGTGTCATAATAGCAGTTATCCAGGATCATCAAGAGACAGCCAGATCTAGTTTTAAACCGCTTTGCAGTACAGGCCTTAGATCAGTATTTATATTGATTTATTCTGAGTTATTTTTCAGTGTCTCACTCAGCAGCCTGAGTCTAAACTATTCAGATGATCTTCTCTCTGTTTCACTGTCTCTCCCTCTCTCAGGCCCCTGAGTCCAGGTGGTGTTGAGCACATAAAACTGGATAGAATAATTGCATCAGTACTAGCTGATCACAGCACCCCTGTCCATGTAGCTGGTCTGCCTTAGGGTGCCATGGCCACAGGAACCCAGGGCCACAACATCTTGGAGAAGGCCAAGCCGACACCACCCACAGGGAAGCACAGGAGAGCAGAAGGGAAGCCCAAGAAGAACTTCTCCTGCCAGGAGTGCCAGAAAGCTTTCAACAGTGTGGAGAAGTTGAAGGTGCACTCGTACTCTCACACAGGGGAAAGACCCTACCGCTGCTCCCACCCTGAATGCACCAAGGCTTTCGTCTCCAAATACAAGCTGCTACGGTACAGACAAAGTGGCAGTGCAGCATGTTGCTTTTCTGTTTACACTGTTGGTAACATAGTGCTCTGTAGAAATCAGAATCATATGTTCATGCAATGCTATTTTTTTAGGTCTTGTGTTTGTGTGTAATGTACAGCATGCCTTCTTAAAACATGATCACAACAATTCTGAGTACTAACAAGATGTGTCTGTGTTCTAAGGCATATGGCAACTCACTCACCAGAAAAAAACCACAAGTGTTTATACTGTGAGAAAATGTTCCACCGCAAGGATCACTTAAAGAATCACCTACACACTCATGACCCGTACAAGGAGGCATTCACCTGTCAGGAGTGTGGTAAGAGCTACAACACCAAGCTGGGCTTCAAACGTCACCTTGCACTCCATGCTGCCAACAGTGGAGACCTCACCTGCCAGGTGTGCCTGCAGCCGTTCCCCAGCACTGGGGTTCTTCTAGAACACCTCAAAACACATGCCGGCAAGTCCTCTGGTGGGACCAAAGAGAAAAAGCACCACTGTGAGCATTGCGAGCGGCGATTTTACACACGTAAAGATGTGCGACGCCACATGGTGGTGCACACCGGACGCAAGGACTTCCTTTGTCAATATTGTGCCCAGCGCTTTGGCAGAAAGGACCACCTGACACGTCATGTGAAGAAGAGCCATGCCCGGGAGCTGCTGAAGGTAAAGACTGAGCCAGCTGATTCGCTGGAGTCTGTTGTCTATGACTTAGTGTCTGGGGGCATTAAGGGTGAGCTCCCACTGACGCAGAGACCACACCAGCTCAACATGTACACCAGCCCCATCCTGGACACAGAGCCTTTCCCCACCCCTACACCCCCCCTTTCTTTAAAGTGCTCACTGGGCTCTAACTTTACCTCATACGCCGGCTCCTCACAGGAGCGTGAGCAGAATCTAAAGGGAGAACTGGAGACCTACCTGATGGAGCTGCAGAGCAGCATGCCCTCATCATCTTCAGCAGCCCAAGAAAGCCAACTCTCCTCCTCCAAGCTTGAGTTGGAGCCTCAAGTGAGCGTTCTGGAGGGAGTAAGGGAGGATGTGTCCCTATCCAAAATGTCCACACCACTGGCAGCAGCCACTGCAGGAGACTCTCTGGCCTCATCCTCCTCCCTGATGGACTTTTCACAGCTTTTCAACTTTCTTCCGCTCAATGGGCCGCTGTACAACCAGGCAGGGGGCAACGGGGGGCAGGGTGTTGCCTATCCACCCAACGAAGAGCCTCCACCTCTGGTTCAGCTACCCCCCCAGCCCTCTGAAGGCCCACAAGCCACAGAGACTCCTCTTCATGGGCTTCCTTCCTCCTTCATATCCAACCTGAGCACACCCACCACACTGCCCCGCTTTCACCAAGCATTTCAGTGATTCAATATGTACTGCACCTGGCACACGTGCACCGTAACACCAGTATACTGCATGTCGAGTGGTATGACCACATCAGCATGCAGACACCAAAACAAGATGCCAGTTACATGTTTGAAGATTTTAGCATCTCTGTCCTTTTATATGACAGCATGAGCAGACACCAGATGATTAGCAGCACACACACACACACGTGTCTACACAAGGTCTGGCTTAATCAGCTTTCTGATGGTAACTGCTGGGATGTATTTCATTACAGTCAAAGAATTCTTTTGTGCTGTGGGTTTTCCAAATTCTTGATATCTTGCTATTTGCAAGTTTTATAATCTGCTGTGATCTGTTCTGATTTCCAGAAGAAATTACTTTTTGCAAATAGCTTCAGGCTACAGTTTACATATCAGTCTTTAATAACATTACAAGTAGTGGCCCTCAGTCATGGGTTCATCCTTCAACAAATTTCAGTACACCACTGCGCCCCTAGCATCAGTGCAAAGACAAGCCACATAAACATAATTTGAGCAAAAATGGCAAATACAGAACACAGTGGAACTCTTCAGTAGTAAATGAAGTCATAGTATATGATACTGCTACATTTTGCTGCTATTTTGTTAATTTTGCCAAAAGAATGGGACGCTGGTCTCCTGGATCATGTCGAGAAATAATGCAAAAATAATAAGATAAACTAAGTTGCAAAATATAGTAGATATAATAACTGAGTACATACAAAGCAAGAAAAGGGCTGCGATTCAGAGCTAATATTAGAAAAAGAAAACCAGTTCATTAAGCAAAGCATGGTAGATTTTGATTATTACAGAAGCTCATCTTTCCTACTTAAAACTTGCAAAAAATAAAATGCTGTTAAATGTACTGACAGAGGGTTTCAACCTCTTTGGGAATAGTAAAATGTTGACACACCCCAAAACTCCACAAAAAATCCCCAGCTGTCCCTGTAGTAGTACTGTAATACTGTAGCTGTCTTTGAGTTTATAAGACTTGTGCTTTCACTCCAATACTGTGACAGTGATAGGGACTCAAAGCACTGAACAATTCAGCCCAGTGTACTTACTAATAACAAAAGAAATTTGTTTCCATATTGGGTGGTTTTCATGTAAAAAAAAAAAAAATCGGATTTACAGACACTGATATAAACATGTTTGCATTTCAGTGAAATCTGATAATCCACCAACACACTGGTGTTGAACTTAATGTGATTATTAAATCAGGGCAAATTCATCCAAAATTATCTGCATGGATAGATAAAAAAATGAACTGTATATTTAATTCAAATAATAGAAACCTAAGATAAAGTCACCCTTTTTAAAGGGCATTTTGGTGTGAACACATCTGTTATTCTTATCTTATCAAGTGATGGTGTTTTCTACTGTCACACAGGGCTTCCATCTCTCACCAAACCATTGGGAGGGGTGCTTCTCAGCATTGTCCAAGGCTTTTGTTAACTGAGATTTGGGGCAAAGCTCCATCCAGCCCAGCATTTCATGCCATTGAAACATTGGTGAATGTTCAGTCATGAGTAGTGAAGAGAATCAGTGAGCAGTACAGTAGCTGCATTTCACCTCAGATAGAAAATCAGTCTGCACATCTTGTCTGCTTATGACATAACTGACATGACATGACTATCGTGTATCATTCAAGACACAGTCATATTCAAATCATACTTGTGCCTTTTCAAGAAATACTTTTAAACTGTTTAGCTGTTTGCTGCCATTTAAAATCAATCTGGAAAAAACAAAAGGGACGCTTTTTGAATGTTACAATTAAGAGCTGCAATGGATCAGGTGCACAACATATTTTATATTTATATATTTTATTTTACAGTAGCATCCTCTAACATCACCTTTCAGTAAGAAAAACCTAGATTCTATTAACCAACTCCAAAATTTCCAAAGATTTATGCTGGACAGACATCTAGAATTATTTAGATGGCTCTTAGAACATGGAGTCCTGGGTTTGAATAGTATGTATTGAGTGTGTAAACATTACAAACCTCCGGTGACATGTTGGAACAGGCAGATATAGAATGGAGTATATGAGAATAAATGAGGTTATTAAGTGAAAAGACATGTTCAAGATATTTTTGCTGACAAAATACTAACAGAATCAGAGAGTAAACTACAGTTAGCACTGACATGTTTCTTAGACATGTCAATAACAGCTACCATCAGCGGTCTCGATTGTGTTGTTCATTTAGATTTTCTAAATGTGTTGTACTGAATAGTTGCTATAGGTGTTGTTGCTCATATAAAGGTCCTTTGTTTAGGCTACATTCATTTTGACCTCAGAACTCCGTGTGTCACTCCATGATAAATTTTTTAATGCAAACCTTAGTGAAAATTCACTTTTTTTTAATCACCTTCGCAAAAATTCCTGGTCTGGATATCACCTGAAATACTTGGTCTGTATCATAAACATTTGAGAGATCATACAAAGACATTAAAAGATGTATCCATATGCTGCATATTAGGCAAACTCCAGATTTAACATGCAGAATGCTGAGGTCATAAGTGTCTAGGTTACTTGTCAGTCCTATTCCTGTTACTGTGTTTTCTAGGTGCTGCTAGCTATGGGATAATGATCGTAGTCTCCTTTCTTAGACAAATATTACTACATTAGCACTCATTAGCCAGCAAAGTAGGGATGGCTATCACCCGAATACCGACTTCTGTACGGAAAGCAGGTTTATAATTCTTATAGTAAGCATGTCAAACTGGCATTATTAACACAACAACCCACAACATTAATAAACTATGAAAGCTCATAGTGTTGATGTTAGCTGATGAATATTTTTTTCCTAAAACAAAAATGACATTTTATCTGGATACATGAAATGTTTGATTCATATATAACCCAACAGTGTTTTCATTTACCTCACATACTCATCTTGTTTTTGTGTTCTGGGCTTCACAAATAACAATGAACTAGAAGTGTTAAGTCCTCCCCAAGCCTTCCCCTTTTCCTTCCTGAATGACAGGACCTGATGAGACATGAATGAAGACAATATTTTTCTGGGTGGTGTGAAAGGCGTAGTTGAATGTGTAATGTTTTGAACCATTTATGGAAGTTTGCCATTTGTATCTTGTGAAGGTTTGTGGTTTTACAAGAAATGTTTCCAAGGCTCTCTCTCATAGCACTTTTTGTAAATTGAATGCCTTCATTTCCTCCAGTATCTTTTGTGTAAAGCCTTTATTACAAATGTATAAATGATATATTTAGCTCTCGTAGAGAACAGTAACATGTACATAGAATATAAAATGGTTTATTTTTACAGGTACAATTTTCATAATTTTTCCTATCAAACTGTCATTTTTGCTTTACTTGCACAAGTATTCTGTGTATCTCATTGAGGGGGGCTTTGTGTAGAGAAAGCATAGTGACTGTTCAACTGCTTGTTTAGGTGAGAGCACATGAAATAAATGAAGCTTAAATTGACAGTTATACAGCAATCAGATCATCTTGTCATGGGTTGTTTAATTGGTTGTTAAACAGACAAACAAGATACATGTTCAATAAGGTCATTTTGTCCTCATTAATTATCCTTACTGACAAGTGTGTCCTTATGAAGTGGTTCCAGTCTGAAACCTGTTGCCTGAACATGAATTTTGCAATCAGTTAATTGCAGGTGTAACTTGATGTATAGTTCATATGGACTGTATGACAGAATCCAGGGACTTCCATGGATTAAAGATGAAAAAGTTAAACACATGGGAGAAAGTATATCCAGGTTTTAAATCTGGTATCAGATCAAGCTCATAATTCTAAACCAAGCCTAAACTGTCCTGGATAGTGAAAGAAGAATGTGTTCCTAAGTCATGCCATGGCCAGGAGGCAGGAGATGTTCTTCAGTGTGAGGTATAGACCTTTAGCAATTTAACAATTGTTAAATTGTTATTAGCTTCAGTGGTACCAGTGAACTTTATTGAATGTGTATGTAAGAAACACTGCAATATATTTTGGTACTGGATCAAGCTGCTAACATACTTACAAAGCTCCCTAAGGTGCTACAGACCTCTTTTCTAGTTCTAAAAGGTGTCATTTGTACAAACAAAGTATGAAGTGTAGCTGAAGAGTTGTGTGTCTGGTTGTTATATATATAGTAGCTACGTTTATTTTATTGTACTGTGACTTTTGTAGTCTTTTCAGAGACTTGCCTGTAAAACTCACATGCCCCCAACCCCCCTCCCCACCTGTGTGTTTTCATATTTGGAGACTGAGTCATGGTGAGGGATTGCTCTGAGTGAAGTCATCCAGCAAAGATGAGGAAATCAGTTCTGACAGTGAGAAATACAACTCCATGTGATGCCATTCAAAATGAGCGAGGAAGTTCACAGACGAACTGCATTCCAGCCATGTTGGTTGTGTTGCATTTCAAAAAGTCACCCTTTGACAATAATGGACTCATTACTAATTCTCAATTTTTTCTAACTACTGTTGTATTTTTTTTATAAATATAGTCAAAGTATTTCACGTGAACATATATATATCTCTCTATATATCTATATATATAGAGAGAGATATGTATATGTTTATAGGTTGCGTAAAATAAAAATTTATGCTGCAGCTATTATCTGTTGTTTTTTAAATAGTTACATTACCCAAAGAGGCTAATTATTTATTGTCGGGCAAAGTAACCTGATTTGATTTACATACCTTGCTGCTATGAAACAGAAGAGCTGCAGTCGTCAACTCCAGTATTTTTACACAATGTAATGAAAGTTCAATAAACATAAAAAAAGGATACAACTGCAAGTCTGATGGTCATTCATAAAAAAGTCATTTACTGTGATAGATAGATAGATAGATAGATAGATAGAAACTTTATTTTTATTGGTCCTGAGGGAAATTCCGGTATCCAGTAGCAGATACACATACAGTATCAAATAACATAGTAACAAGTGCCAGGTATACAGTACACATTAAGGTATACATAATAAGTAAATATGCATGGGGTACCTGTGTACTATCCCAATATGTGCAGGACTGAACACTGAAGAATGAGCATTATGTGCAAAGGTAGAAACAAGGGTAAACAGTGCACAGTGCAGTAGTATAGTGCCATAGTGATGTGGCTCATAATATTATGGAACAGAGTAGTGACAACACATGTCACATGTCCAAAAGTCAGATCCAGCCTCCTCAATGGGAGGAGGTGAAGAGTCGTATGGCCCAATGAACAAATGGAGTCCATTGTCCAGGATGGACAGCAGCTTACTGCAGGTCCTCTTCTCTACTACAGATGTAAAAGAGTCCCACTCTGTACTCACTACAGAGCCAGCTGTGCTCACCAGTTTATCCAGCCGTGGGGTGTTTCTCTTCTTAATGCTGCCACCCCAGCACACTACAGCCTAGAAAGGGATGCTGGCAATGATAAACTGGTAGAACATCTGTAGCAGCTTCTTACAGATGTTGACAGTCCCCAGCCTCCTAAGAAAGTACAGCCAGCTCTGTCCCTTCCTGAACAGTGCATCTACTGTATGTTGGTGGACTGGACCCAGGTATTTCTAGATCTGGATGACCTCCACAAAGACTTCAGGTGGGGTTTGGGCCTCTGGAAGTCTACCACCATCTCTTTGGTTTTGGAGGTCATAATATGTAAGGTTAGACTTGCATCATGCCACAAAGTCCTTCACCAGGCTCCTGTACTAATCTTCCTGTCCATTCCTGATACACCCCAAGACTGCAGTGTCATCAGAAAACTTCTGCATGTGGCACAACTCCAAGTTACATTTTGAAGTCTGGGGTGTAGAGAGTGAATAGGATGGGGGAGAGTACTGTCCTCTGTGGTGCTCCTGTGCTGTTGACCACCATCTCTGAGGTGCAATCCCTCAGTCTGACATCCCTGTGAGATGGTTTGTAATCCAGGACACTGGGTGGGAGTCCACTCCCATCTCTGTCAGTTAGTCTCTCAGTAGCAGGGGCTGGATGGTGTTGAAGGCGCTGGAGAAGTCATCACATCCAGCTGTAGAAGGAGGTTGTCTGCATGCATGTTTCTGTTTAAGTCAGCAATTTATTCAGGTCTTACATCAGGTTACATGGACTTCTTTTTATTACGCCTCCATGCCAGCAATAGCCATGGTCAGAGGCATTATGTTTTCGGGTTGTCTGTTTGTCTGTACATACAGTACATACCTACATCCATACAATTCTTGTGGACATGATATGTCGAGAACAACTCAAGGGAATTTTCTTCAAATTTGGCACAAATGTCCACTGGGACTCAAAGATGATTTATGTAGACAAAGGTCAAGGTCAGTGACCTCGCTTCTGGTCCATATCCATGAAGTGGACTGGTTGGCAAAGGCATACAACCATGAAGCTGCAGGTCTAGCTACTGATGTCATTAGTTTATTTAATTTTTAGGTAATGCAGGTAATGTTAGGGTAAATAAGAAACATTTCCAAATTCAATAGTTCCTCCAACCTGAACAATAATAAATATTATTTGACCTCAACAGTGCAGTTAGTAGCCCTTTGTCATGGTAACAATAAGATTACCCATAAGACCTTTCCATCAGCAGGAGCATGTATCCTGCAGCAAGATTAGTGGTCTATCTACAATATTGTTGGTCTTAACTCTAATTAACATTTAATCGGGGTAGATCACCACGTTAGCATATGTTGCTAGGCTAACCTGGTCAGATCAAAACCTGGCAACAGCCTCCCTGCTGACGAATCACATCACTGGAAAACAAGGATTATTCCTACTGGATCCTGACAGGGACAAAAGAGTTTACAGCATTGTAATAATAATAATAAAAATAAAATAAAGAGAAGTAGATATTTTTATAGAGCAGTCAAATGGGGTACTCCGATAGGTATGGTGCATGGCACCCAATACGCAAACACAGTGTGTGCACATCAGTGGTTCAAGTTTGGCTGTTGCAGCTCTGTCTGCCCATTACAATAAGGGCAGTCAAATATTTCTGCTGTTTCAGGCTTTTCATGGGCCATTCAGGTTTAAAGCAGTGTTTCTAACAAAATGAAAAAGTCTACAGTCATCATGGTGATCAATGCTATATTTTAAATGCACAAAGATTATTTGATTCCTGACTATGTCGGTTTTTACAGGCTTCCACAACTGCAGCCCAGAATAACATGAGAACACTCTGTGTTGATAATTGGTCTTTAATTTGATAAATAGTCCATATGCTGTGAAATATTTCCCATGATTATTAATGAACATACCAGTGAGATTGACTTTAGGAAATCAATACTATGGCAGAACGCTAGCTAGTGCATGCTACTTCCTGATGGTAGGCCAAAGTCAGAGTATTCAGAAAGTGGTGGAAATGTGCTTCCATAAAAGAGTGATAGAGACCATCATGAATAAGCTGACAAACAATGTCCTATGTTATCGTGACTGTCTTTGGTTTTTTGTTAAACTGGATCATCTGTTTATGCATGCTTTAAAAGTCTCACTGAAAACACTAAAAGAAGAGCTGTGTAACATGCTTGTCAGTGAAGCAGTGGACTGATTAAATAGCCCATGGCATACACACATGTGGTAGTTACTTTTTGACACACAAATAACATTGTGCTTTACTACAACGGAATGTGAAAAAGGGGCTCATATTACCCTGTCCTTCCCTACTGTAGATTGTGTAAACTGATTTGAACCATCGGGGTGAACCCGTTGAACCCAAACATTGCATTACATAGTACACAACACTAAGTGGTGCTGTAGCTGGCTCTTTGTGTGTGGGGATGTGTGTGTGCTGAAAAGCTTTGAGGCTGCAGACTTAGAATACATCTCAGTTCTCTTAATTTAATCCACATTTCCCTCATTGTACAAATACAGGGTTTTCCCTGCCATAAAAAGGCTTAGGCAGAGCACCTAAAGCCAAATGAACATAAAAAGGCCTTTAGGTGATTTATCAGAATGAAAGTCTCTAAAAACAACAGCGAGAATTATATACAATGGAAAAAAGAATAAACTTTTGTCTATATGTACAATATATTATGAGGGGCCGTATAAGACATTATGTATTCTCGACGTTTCACACACATACATTTTCACTCTCACATGCATATATTCTCCTCACACATGCATACATTCTACTTACACATACACACATTCTACTCACACATGCATATATTCTCCTCACACATACATATATTCTACTCGCACATACATATATTCTACTTGCACATACACACACATATTCTTCTTTTACATACATGTATTTTCACTCTCACATACTTATATTTTCACTCAGAAATACACATATATTAAATACACATATATTTAACACAAGGTATACTGTTACACAGGAAGTTCTTCCTCTTAACAGGAAGCGATCAAACTAGGAAATACATGGGCAAGACTATCTGTGCTTCTTTCTTGGCTTGCTACATCAGAACTACACCATGATGGTATGGAAAGGCTTCTTGCTTTGTTTTCAAGTGCAGTTTTTCATTTTTGCAGTAAGTAGCAATGAAAATGACATTTTACAGTTTTTTAGCAATACCTTAGAATGTATTCAGCAAATACTGAAACTGAAAAGTACAGATTCTTTTGTTCAGGAGAGGCTGTATGCTGAGCTTTCTGACCACATTCAGACTTTATCTGGATTTCTGTCAATCTCAAGATTTGTTGAAGATTCGAGAAATAGAGAAGCAGTCCATACTTTACAGTCCTTGCATAGATGTCTTCAGTTTTTATTGACTGCTCATGAAACCAGGCGAAGAATCCTATCTGAAAACAGTTATGTTCTGTTGCCACCACCTGTCAGGACCGGACTTCAAGGCAGACCTCAGTACAACATTTCAAGGGAACAAATCTCTCATTTAGTATCCCTTGGAATGAACTGCAAAGCACTGCACTATGCTTAGGAGTAAACAGTTGGACTCTTTATAGGCACAGACAGCGGCTTGGCATTGAATCGATGACATATGCAGCACTGTCAAATTACAACCTAAACAGAATTGTTGGGGAAATTCTTCAGTCTACCACAAATGCAGGTGAACGCTATGTGCATGGGAGCTTGAGATTGCGTGGGTTACGTATTCAAAGGTGGCGGGTTCGACAGAGTTTGCATGAAACTGACCCTATTGGACGGTCCTTCAGAAGACGCCGTGCAATCCGTAGACGAATTTACAGTGTTTCAAGTCCCAATCAATTATGGTAAACAACATCATGGATGTAGATGAATAAGTGCTTTTTAACTGTTAAATTATTGATGCATAACCTTGGGTGTGTTTTTCATAGGCACATTGATGGAAACCACAAACTTGTGAGATGGAGAATGGTGTTCCATGGCTGCGTTGATGGTTTCAGTCGAACCATCATTTACCTTGCTTGTCTGGACAACAACAGAGCCTGTAGTGTCTTATCACTCTTCCTTGCAGGTGTTCAGAACTTTGGAACACCTGCAAGGGTCAGATGTGATCATGGACTGGAAAAC